ACTCACACACACACGCGCACACACTCACTCACTCACTCACTCACTCACTCACTCACTCACTCACACACAGATACACACTCACTCACACACAGATACACACTCACACACACACAGATACACACACACACTCACACATGCATGCATGCGCGTCTGCTGCTGAGAGATGAGCATTCATTCAAAGTGCACTGGAAAATCAAACAAAAAGACAAAGATACAAGACTGTGAAGTTTAATAAGCAGCTTTAATTTTTTTCAATCCCATGAAGCATTGCAAATGCTTTTTTCTTTTGCAATATAGAAATGGCATTTATCACAATATATAAAAATATACACTGCCGTTCAAAAGTTTGGGATCAGTAAGATTTTTTATGTTTTTTAAAGAAGTTTCTTGTGCTCATCAAGTCTGCATTTATTTGATAAAAATTTAATTTTGTGAAATATTATTGCAATTTAAAATAAGTTTTCTGTTTTAATATACTTTAAAATATAATTTATTCATGTGAAGCAAAGCTGTATTTTCAGCATCATTACTCCAGTCTTCAGTGTCACATGATCTTCAGAAATCATTCTAATATGCTGATTTGCTGCTCGAGAAACATTTCTGATTATTATCAATGTTGAAAACAGTTGTGCTGCTGAATATTTTTTGGGACATGTGATACATTTTTTATTACAAACCGTTCTTATACTTCTGGAAACACGTCATTTGAGCAGTTTGCTCTGTTGTTGTGTTGTTACTCGTGTCTTCACCATGGTAAATCACTGTCTGACTGCTTGTAACGTATGAAGGGACGAGTGGATGCGTGCGATCCAGGCCGTGGCCAATGGGCTGCAGGCGCGGGAAGCGGACGAACCGATGGAGATCAAGTACAGCTCTCCCGGTGACGTCTGCGGTCTGGAGGACATGGAGGTGTCTCTGTCCAAATCCAGCTCCAGAGTGGTGCGTCTCTCTGCAGATTACGGTTACGAGCGTAGAAATCAGTCATTGGTTTGCACTAATGATGATGATGATGATGATGGTTTGTGCTCTCAGACGATGAATGACTTCGATTACCTGAAGCTGCTGGGTAAAGGCACGTTTGGGAAGGTGATTCTGGTGCGAGAGAAAGCCTCGGGGGTGTACTACGCCATGAAGATCCTGCGGAAGGAAGTCATCATCGCTAAGGTGACAGACTCTTTACTAACCAACCCGTGACTAGGAGAAACACTGTTAGAGTCAGAGACGGAATATACACCCAGACAATTACTGAAATGAGATGGTTTTGAGATTTCAGGATTCCAGTGATTTATATTCACTCATTTATTAAATCAGAGACGATACACATTAACAGTACACAAAATCAGTGTAAGATGTGCCAGATTTAGCCAGGGTGGTGTATTTTCATCTGTAGTCACAGGTTAATGTAAGAAAAAAAACCATAAATAGAATATTTTTAACTCTAAAAATCCCAATAAATGTTCACAGTATATAGAATTATAGATTTTGTTAATGGTTTGAATTAGGTTTTAGTTTTATATTTTCAGTTTTCATGTTAATTTAAGTTTAATTTTTATTCATTTTGTTGTGCTTTTTAAAATTTTTTTAATTTCCTTTTAATATTACTATTGTATTTTTAGTTCAGTTTTATTTTAAGTTCATTTTTAGAATATGTTCCCCGTTAGTAATTTTATTGTTCCCAACCAAATTTTAGTGCATTTCGGGTAGTTAAGGAAACAAGTTTTTCATCTAATATTTAATTTTTTTAGTATAGTTTTAAATTATAATGATAATCATCCTGGGACCTAGTGAACTTTGTTTGAAAGCAACTTAAGTTACTTTTACTTAACGGAACACTCCACTATTTTTGAAAATAGGCTACTCCCCTAGATCCCCTAGAGTTACACAGTTGAGTTTTGCCGTTTTCGAATCCATTCAGACGATCTCCGGGAGCACTTTTAGCACTTTTAGCTTAGCTTAGCATAGATCATTGAATCTGATTAGACCGTAAAAATGACCAAAGAGTTTCTATATTTTTCCTATTTAATACTTGACTCTTCTGTAGTTACATCGTGTACTAAGACCGACGGGTTACATCATGTACTAAGACCGACGGAAAATGAAAAGTTGTGATTTTCTAGGCCGTAGGAACTATGAACTATACTCTCATTCCGGCGTAATAATCAAGGAACTTTGCTGCCGTACCATGTGTGCACAATGATATTAGTTGACGGAAGTTAGCCTATTTTCAGGCGCTGCTTGTGGTTCCATCAAACCCATCGTTTCATCACAATTTCACCATCCAGTTACTTATATATCAATGCTCTTTTGTTAGTTTTGATTGCTTCTATTGTCCTCATTTGTAAGTCGCTTTGGATAAAAGCATCTGCTAAATGACTAAATGTAAATCTATCTTGTATGTGTGTGTGTGTGTATATATATATATATATATGAATTTTGTTCTAAAATGAGCATTTTTCTCAGGCTCCTATGTGTAGGTTCAAGTAATTTCACTTTAATAGCAAGTTCTTTTCATTGCCATTAAAGTGAAATAACTGAACATAAACAATAAAGCCTGAGAAAAATGCTCATTTTAGAAGAAAATTTCAAACGGCACTTAGAGGCTTTTGCATCTGAACTCTTCATATATATATTTATATATTAGTGCTGTAAAATGATTAATTGTGATTAATCGCATCCAAAATAAAAGTTTTTGTTTACATCATATATGTATGTGTACTGTGTATATTTATTATGTATATATAAATACACACACATGCATGTATATATTTAGAACACATTTTCTTATATTTTATATTAAATATAAATATATTTAATATATAAACATAACAAATTTGTCTTTAATGTATACATGCATGTGTTTGTACTTATGTATACATAATATACACATTATGTAAAAAAAACTTTTATTTTGAACGAGATGAATCGTTTGACAGCACTATATATATATATGTTTTTTTTTTCCTGTCTCATATAGCCAGTCCTAATACAGACAGAAAGCAGCGGCAGGTCTGACCTCCTCGTGATGCGAGAGTTACTCCGTCGTAAGAGAAAGTGAGGCAGGTCGTGTCGGATCCGGCGGCGTGAGCCTGGCGGCAGTGGAACTTCGTGTGAACCTGAAAAACACAACCAAAGCACACATAAGAGACGCAGGAGCAGCTTTCAACACGTCTGGATGAGCAGAGGCCAGACCTGCGCTCCATTAACACTCACACAGAGCTCTGCGGCCCAAACGCTTTCCATCTGCAAAACCACACTCCAGTCTGGGAAACATTCGCCATTCGTTTCTCACATTCAACACCAACACAAGGATTGAGGAGGAGTATATAAGCCAAAAACCCCTTTACAGCACTTCTTCTGAACAGAGACCCTCCTGTACCCTCCTGTCTGTTCAATTACTGGACCACCGAGTCTTCAGCCTCAACAGCTCGTTACATGAGAGAGTGACGAGATCTGAATGATTTCTCTGAGGATCTAATGCAGCTCAATGAAGAGCTCCAACACCAATATATATCGGACGCATTTGTTTGTGTGCGGTTTTGACACTTTTATTAGCAGAATAGTTGAAAGCTGAGAATAGAATAGAATAGAATAGAATAGAATAGAATAGAATAGAATAGAATAGAAAATTTAAATACAAATAAAATAAATGACAAAATGAAATGAAGTAATTTAAATAAATATGAAACAAAATCATAAATTAAAATAAAACAATAAAATAAAAAAAGATTAAATAAAATTTTAAATAAAAATATAAATTAATTAATTAATTCAAAATAAAATAA